TAACTTTTACTAGTCAACTTCAATGTATCTGACTAACTTTTACTGGTCAACTTCAATGTATCTGACTAACTTTTACTAGTCAACTTCAATGTATCTGACTAACTTTTACTAGTCAACTTCAATGTATCTGACTAACTTTTACTGGTCAACTTCAATGTATCTGACTAACTTTTACTAGTCAACTTCGATATATCTGACTAACTTTTACTAGTCAACTTCAATGTATCTGACTAGCTTTTACTGGTCAACTTCAATGTATCTGACTAACTTTTACTAGTCAACTTCGATATATCTGACTAACTTTTACTAGTCAACTTCGATACATCTGACTAGCTTTTACTAGTCAACTTCAATATATCTGACTAACTTTTACAAGTCAACTTCGATACATCTGACTAACTTTTACTGGTCAACTTCAATGTATCTGACTAACTTTTACTGGTCAACTTCAATGTATCTGACTAACTTTTACTAGTCAACTTCGATACATCTGACTAACTTTTACTAGTCAACTTCGATATATCTAACTAACTTTTACTAGTCAACTTCGATACATCTGACTAGCTTTTACTAGTCAACTTCGATACATCTGACTAACTTTTACTAGTCAACTTCAATGTATCTGACTAACTTTTACTGGTCACCTTCGATATATCTGACTAACTTTTACTAGTCAACTTCGATATATCTGACTAACTTTTACTAGTCAACTTCGATATATCTGACTAACTTTTACTAGTCAACTTCAATACATCTGACTAACTTTTACTAGTCAACTTCAATACATCTGACTAACTTTTACTAGTCAACTTCAATATATCTAACATTTACTTGTCAGCTACACGAGGGCTATCTGCGCTAGCCGTCCATAATTTAGTTATGTAAGACTAGAGGGAAGGCAGCTAGTCATTACCACCAACCGCCAACTCTTTGGCTACTTTTTTACCAACGAATAGTGGGACTGACTATAACATTATAACGCCCCCATGGCTGAAAGAGCGAGCATGTTTGGTGGGACGGGGATCCGAACCTCAGACTGCGAGTCGAGCGCTCTAACCACCTGGCCATGCCGGGCCCCGAAACGAAGTTAGACAGTAATGACTACAATTGAACGTTATGAGCATGCGTAAAAGTCTTGGGATAAACACCTTAAAAAACAACAACAACAATATTCTAAATATGACATTCAAACAATAACTGTATTATAGTCTAACAGTTCTTGTTTATCTCCACAGTAACTAATAGGTACATAAGAATGATAATAAGACATGTATTTCATATTGCCTTAATTATGCAGGTTATAAAAGATTTTAGTTTTACTGGAATATTTTGTTTTGTGTTTGTTTTTTTTTAAATTCAAACTTTCTCGGTTGTAGCGGCTCTTGGCTAGTGACGTCTTGTTTGAAGTACAAACTACAAGAAAGACACGTGCTTGCTTATAACTCTGTGGTCACTTGAAGCAAAAGTCACAAACTAGAGAAAAGTGATCGGACGAATACCGAAAGGAGGGCACCCGGTTCTCGCCGATGTCTTCCTTTCGTGGGAGGTCCAACACGGACTCCAGCGTAAGTGTGTCCTTATGAAAGAAGATGTAGTCCAGTGTGTGGCGGGTCTCTCCGTCCTCCCGTATCTTCCACGTGGTATAAGGAGGTTCCTCGTGATGATTACTGAGGTATGAGTAGCCGCTATCAAGGCTGGGCTCAAGGCAATCAGTTATGGTACTGTACACTGGCTCCGTGGGCTCGGCATTGAAGTCACCAGTAACTATTAGTGGTCTGTGGTCATAGTACGCCCGGATAAAGTCCAGTAAGTCCTTTCCCTGTTCATTCCTTAGGGTGGCAAGCAGAGTCCCCTGGCGGGCTTTGAGATGTGTGGTAGTTACACAAAACTCACGACCATCTGCTTTTCGTCTGAAGATGCAGAGAATGGCCACCTGGTTGGACTGACAGGTACAAACCTCCAATATCCGGGTCTCGGTCCTCAGCAATTCAAACTTGCTGGTGTTGTAAAAAATAGCACAACCATCAGGGCCATTGTTTCCTTTGACGTAGCTGCAAGGTGAGTCCGGCTTGGGAAAGAACGTACCGACGAAGTCTAACGCCCCCAATGTCTTCTTGAGGAAATAGAAATGGTCCACTTCCTGGAAGCACAAAATGTCTGCCTTATACATGAAGATTTCTTCCAACATCCTCCAGCGCCGTGTCCTCCAACACAATGCTTCTTCCGGACACGCCACAAAATTGTCGTGTTTCTCTCCAAGAGCTAATAAGATAACACAGAAATAAAGAAAGGGGTTGTTAGCATTAACAGACTACATAAGCTAAATGTTTTGAACAAAAACCATGATAAACAAATTTGTATCTCGACACGTGAAAGTGTCAAACTAATATATCTTATTATAATGGACGTTTGGCTTTGTTTTGAATTTCGCGCAAAGCTACATGAGGGCTATCTGTGCTAGCCGTTCCTAATTTAGCAGTGACAGACTAGAGGGAAGGCAGCTAGTCATCACCACCCACCGCCAACTCTTGGGCTACTCTTTTACCAACGAATAGTGGGATTGACCGTCACATTATAACGCCCCCACGGCTGAAAGGGCGACCATGTTTGGTGTGACGGGGATTCGAACCCGCGACCCTTAGATTGCGAATCAAGTGCCCTAACCACCTGGCCATGTATAATGGACATAGTATGTATATATATGTATCTATGTATGTGGCTAAAATAAAAAATACAATGAAAGTGTCAAACTAATATATTTTACTATAATGGACGTAGTATGTATATATGTATCTATGTATGTGGCTAAAATAAAAAATACAATGAAAGTGTCAAACTAATATATTTTAATATAATGGACGTAGTATGTATATATGTATCTATGTATGTGGCTGAAATAAAAAATACAATAAAAGTGTCAAACTAATATATTTTACTATAATGGACGTAGTATGTATATATGTATCTATGTATGTGGCTGAAATAAAAAATACAATGAAAGCGTCAAACTAATATATTTTAATAT